CGGAGGGTCTCACGGGCATTGTGAGCTAGGAGTTGAGGGCTGGCCAACACGATGCTGCCTAGTCCTGCCTTGGCTAGTGACTGCTGGCTGCAGGGGAATTCAGGCTGCGGGAAGCATAAGGGCCTTAAAGAAAGCGAGTGTTTTTCCTCTGCACGCTCTGATCTTTCTACCATCCTTCTTGAATGAATTCTCCACACTCTCCCCTATACCAGGATTGCTGTTCAAGACCTTGGGCCTGCCACTTCCACTGCCTGGAGCGAGGGATGGATAGGCTGCTGGGTGCATGCTTTTGTAGGACCGGTGACCCAACATACGCAGCCTGTCCCGTGGGAGACAAAGGGTGCTTGCCAGCCAGGCATTCACTTGCAATCCTATTCATGCCTTAGACAATCACTTGCTCCGGACGTGACTGGAGTGTAATGAGGCTGGCTGGTGCGTGTGGCAGCCCTCGGGGAATATTGCGGTGAGGGCATGGTGGAGACTGCGCGGTGCCCCGACACGTAAGGAGGCCCTGATCTACGTGCCGATCTAACGGTGCTGCCTTGGCTGCGCTCACTCATCACCATGGCTGATGGGCTGGTCTCGTGCCGCCGGCTCCGTCTTCCTTGGAGGAAGCATCATGGCAGGCTGGGACCTGCAGCCTGCACCTCTGTGCTGAGGATGGAGGCAGCTGCTAGTGCCTCTGTTTTATGAGGATGAGGTGCTGCCTTTTGGGCGTTTGCCTGTCTGCTACCGAAGGCTGGCAGGTAGGCAGCGACTCCCAGGAGCTGCTCCATTCCTGATGTGGCCTTAGCTTTGGGGGAGATGGACCAGGCCATACCTGCTGGTGATTTTAGACTCGCTGCCTGGCGAGGCACCCCGAGGGGGTCTGCAGCACGATCGGGGACAGGTGCCTTGAAGCCCTCGGTCTGCTGGGTGCTGACCTCGCCTCACCCCCGCGAGCCAGCGCTGTAGCTGGGCAAGCCCTCAATTGGGCATTGTTCAGCTCCGAGCCCTTGCGAGCGCCGGAGAGTCACGTATCCGCTTGTGCAGCGAGGATAACGCTGCCTCCTCCCCACCGTAACCGCGGGTAGATTTACACCCGGCCTAATTCTCTAACCAGCTTACATGCCGCCGAACGGGCCCCTCATTAGCTTGTAATGAGCTCTACTTGGACGCCTTCCTGTCCGGACAAAAGCGGAGTTTGATGCTGTAAAGCATTTCTCGCTAAACCGCTCCTAACTGGAGGGAAAGCTCTGCTTTGCTCAATAACAAGATCAAAAGCCAGGCAGCACAGTGGCTTCCTCTGGCTCCACGTGGCAGGGGCTGGATTGCCCCCTGGGCCTGCCCGGCGTTGCGTTGCCCCTCGCTGCGGGCAGTGTCCCTAGAGCTGGACGGCGAGAAAGGGAGTCTGCTGCGCAACGTGACCTTGCGCTGCAGAGGCTCCAGGCCTGGATAGGACGTGGGGGCTGTTTTCCATCGGGGCCATAAAGCGGCTGCTGGGAGGGCATCTCACCTTCCCCTTGGTTTTATCTCTCGGATGTCGCTGGGTCGTAAAGGTCTGCTCAATATTGACCTTTTAATAGGCACCATTGCACAATCCCCCTCTCCCGAGCCTGTGGGTGCTGACTGCTGCCTCCCACAGCAGCCAGACCCAGCCTTGGCTTGGCGTTGGGAAAGCCCTGTTCTCCGGGGAGAGCTCCAGGCCTGGGAGTCTGCCTGGGGAGGGCACCTGGGGTGTCTTTGGGAGCCCTGCATGACCGCCCGTGGGGTCTGGCGTGTGCTCTGGGATACCTTGTGCTGCTTTGGTTAAGGTAGGGCATGCACGCAGTTCCTGCCCTGTCTCTGGCTTGCCCTTCTGCTCAGCCTGGGACAGACTGCGATCGGCTCCTACTCAAGGAGGGCAAGTGTGCTAAGAGGGGCAGGGCAAAGCCTACCTGTGCTGTGGGGTTTTAAGAGGAGGTGGGCTTATGGGTCCGGCCGATGCTGTATGCACCTGGCTCCAGTTGCCATCCTGCAAGGAGAATGGAGCCCTTTGCAAATGGAAGTGCAGTGCCTTCAGAAGTGCCAAGCTGGAGAGGCCTGCAGAAGAGGGAGGGGGTTGAACAGCGTTTGGAGCCGGGCGGTGCCAGCCTCCCATTCTTGGAGGCAGGTGCGGGTGGCGCGAGGTGCTTCTGTGCAGCTGTGTCCAGCTGTAACCAGATGGCAGAGAGCAGCAGGTGATGCCTGGATAACCAAACCTTTTGCTTTTGCACACAGGCCTCTTCCAAAAGCCTGCTGAGTCTTGTCACAGCCAGCTCCTGTTTTTCAGGAGCAATTTAACATTGCACTTTGCCTCTGGGGACAATGGCAAGGCTGGGAGCGGAGCGCTCCGCTGGGTTGCTCAGACTGCCGGGCTTCTGCTGACCCCCCTCCACGGGGTGCTGTGTACAAACACCACCTCCTTACAGCTCTGGTGGCACGAGGATATCAGACAAACTGCAGCAAAATAGAAGGCAGCGGCTGGAAAAGCAAAATATTTGCCAAATGCACAAGTCTGTAATCCATGGGAGGACGGACAAATGTAAACACCTTGGTGCAAGGCCTGATAAAAGCCTTGGCAGTTCAGTTCTGGGTCCCGGGCCACAGGCAGCGAGGATGCAGGATCGGGTGGCTCGCTGGAGTAGGAATAGCAGGCAGCCCTCGGGCCAGGGGCTGAAGGGTTTCCCTGTGGGTACCTCCAAAGTGTGGAACGGGCCCTAACCCCGCGCAGGAGGCACGCGGGAATGCCCTGGGGCTAGGGTCAAATCTGACTGCTAGGGATGTGCTTTGTGATCTGGGGCAAGTCCCTTCACCTTTCTGGACCTCCCTGCCTCTCCCTCCTAGCCTTGACTCACCTGTTTAGCTCATCAGCTCTGGTTGTGGGTAAATATAGCACCCACAAGTGTGTAAGTAGTAGTGGCTCAGGGGTTGCCCGGGAGTGGGCAGGGTAGGAAACATGTCGGGGTCTGGGTGGGTGGGGAGTGCCCGTGCTGGGAGCCTAGCAGAGAACTGCTTGCTGTGACACTTAGACCCTGCTGCGCTGCAAGCACGTGTCTCCCTTCCTCAGCGGGATCGAGCGCAGCTGCGCAGGGCTCCTGTGTGACTGCATGTGTGGGCTGCGCTCGTTGCTGCCTGCATCTCCTCTCCCCCGTGCTGGAAATGAGGGCTGGGGTTATTAGGTCTCAGAGGAACAACATGCTGCTGCTGAGTAGAGGAGGCGAAGGCTGCATGTTGCTTGCTCCCTGGGGCACACAGACAGCCGAGCTGGCGCTCGGTGGCTTCCCAGAGTGCATCGCCTTTTGGGGAAAAAGGCTCGGGTTGTGCAGGGGAGGCTCTTTGCAAGCCAAGATGAGGAGGAGGAGGGCTTGCCAGGATGCCTTTTGCAGTTCTGTTCTGACAGCTGCTCAGGATGCCGGCGTGCCACGGGGAAGGGTTGCAGCAAAGCGGGGAGAGAGCCGAGCCGCTTGGAGCTCCGACTCCGACCAGACCTCAGGAGGATAAAAAGCCTTCCTGGTCCTCGGTGCAGGATGGCTGTCCCGGGCCTTCACAAGTGGGCATTGTGCAGAGATTTTTGTGGGAGGTTGGCTCCAAAAATATTTCCCTGCTTTTACAGGGTGTTTATAAAAGGAAGTCTCTGTCTTAGCTGTGGAATTCGGCCAGGCTGGGCTCTTTAAGGACACAGTCACTCGCTGCATTGTATAAGCAGATATCCTGGATAGTCCTCCTAAAGCCTCCTAAGTTCAAGGAGGGGAACGGCAGCTGTCCGTGGCCCCTGGACGGTCCCCACCTGGAGTTACCTGCCGGCTGGCCCCATTGCCTGATCAAGACTTCTTGTCTGCCTGTTGTTTGCTTGCCAGGAAGGTGCAAGCAGAGTTGCTTGATACTGCTCATTCCGGGGGATTTATCAAGAGTTTACAGCACAGCAGATGCGATGCTTGCAGTCTTCACTCGGTGTCAGCTTTAAATACGGCATCTACAGCTACTTTAGTGCCTAATAGAGTATATTGTAGCTGGCTGCCTGGTAGTTGTGAATTGGAGATCTAAACACGTCTGACACGTAGCCCCTTTTCCAAAACCGGCGTCATAACTATTCCCCTGACTTCTTGGGAATTTCCATGCTGAACTAACTGGCTGCTTTTAAAGTGTGGTTTCTCTGCTTTGACCAAAAATTCTTCCATGAGAGGGCATGGAGCATAAGGGAAAGCTGCACGGGTTGAGAGAAACTTTTTTTTAGATATATCTTTCTTAATTGCCTTTAATGGCAGACAGAGCTGCAGCTGGCTGGCTTGTGGAAAACAGCAGACCGCCCCTTTCTGCCCTTTAGTCTGGTTGATGCTCTCCCATCTAGTGAAACCTTCCCTCGGTTCAGGATTTTCCACCATTGAAATGGGGGGGATCAGAGGTGGGGAGCGAAGTGAGAAATGACCCCCCTGGACATGGTCTTACAGCTGCTGCCACGGGAGCTGGATCTGGGAAGGGGAAGGGGTGTCTGGGAAAGGAGAAAGTCATAGTGGGTTGTGCAAGTGATTGCATATGAATGGGGGAGTTCAGCAAACCTTATGAAAGCGCAGTACAACTCACAAGACAAGAATAGGTTGGAAACTTCCTTATGCAGTTTGTGCAATTCATGCACTTGGTGCTTTCGGTGGAGTCCGATCATATGGAGCAGCTAGCGGCACTGGAAGACTGGGCGGTTCACATCCACAGAGTTCATAGACATTAGGGGCTGGAAGGGACCTCACGAGATCATTGATCATCGAGTCGGGAAGTCTGCAGGGATCAGATGAACCTAGCAAGATAAACATCCAAATGCCTTTTGAACGTGTCCAGAGTAGGTGCTTGCACCACCTCTGCGGGTAGGCTGTTCCAGACCCTGGACACTCAGACTGTAAAGACATTTTTCCGTATATCAAGTCTGAATTGGCCTTCTAGAAGTTTGTGGCCATTAGACCTAGTAATCCCTTGGGGAGTGCTGGTGAACAACTGTTCTCCCAGATGCTGATGCACACCTGCTATATACTTACAGGCAGCCACCATGTCCCCCCTGAGCCGTCTCTTTGCCAGGCTTTTGGTATCCATTTAGATATCAAAAGTAGCGCGGTGTCCCTATGACTGTGTCCATTGGCAGATGTACCCTGCACACCCCTTGTCTGGTGCCACACTCCACCCAGACTGCGAGTGTGTCCTGTCAGCCCTGCGTGTCTGCAGTGGGAAGAGCACTTGGGCCGGCTGCACGGGTTTTTTTGAACGAGGAGACCAGTTGGGAGCTCCTTTCCCAAAGGCCTGTGGGCTTTAAGGCCCTCCTTTGTGCAACTTTGCCTCTATTGAATGAGGCTCAGTGGTAGTGGAAGTCACCCGATGTGAAGGTGGAATAAGCACTCCCTTTGGCTGGGCAGATCGGGGCAGCTGCAGGGTTTGTTTAGCAGGACCCTTTTGTCCAGCCGACAGCAGCAGGCTGCGCTGATCAAGAGTCGGCATAAGTATCTATCCAGCAGCAATGAGTGGTGCCTGGATCAGGTGGACCCAGTCTGAAATGGCATCAATAAAACATTCTGCAGTATTTTGTTCTCCTTGCTGCTGGATGTCAGTCCAAGGCACAGGCGCTTGTGTGAACTCGTCTGCGATGACTTTTGCAAGAGTCTCCTTCAGTTTGGATCCACATTAAGCTGCCAAAAACTCTTGCCCATCAGGCATGGCAAACAGCAGGAGGCTGGCGGCTTTTCAGGAGTTCTGCCAGGGTTGGCCGGGGCACCTCCTTGCTGGGGTGGATGATTCAAAGCCTTTTAACCTGCAAGCAAGATGGGACAGAAAGTCAGTCTGCAGGGCAGTGCATTGCTGTGTAGGCCTGCCCATGCTTGTGCTAGCCCAGAAGCAGTGCAGCCACATAGGTCAATTAGCCTGACTCCGCTATCAGCCTCAGCCAGAGTGAATAGTGTGCTAAAGCAGCTGCCCTACTTCCAGTAACAGCTTGTCCGGGTATCTTGGCACAGCCCTGCCCTGAATTCTGCCCCTGGGTTTCTGGTGCTGTAGGCTGCACATCCTGCAGTGGGCCGATCTAAAGTTCAAACCAAACCAAATGTGATGGTTTAAAATTGAGACTGGGAAATGCTCAGCATTGTGGTCTCCTGTTCCAGTGTGACACGAGCGCAGTTTACATTGCATCGCTTCAGTGCTGGGGAGGCTGGGCTGGCTCAGGTTGCAGGAGCTGGTCAGGGTGAGGCTGCCAGTCTCAAGAGCTGGGAGATGGGGAGACATCAGGGCAGTTGGAGCAAGTGGGACATGCCCCGATGGGACGTCTGCAGGGACGTGGCCCTCCCTCTCACAGCGCTGAATGAATGCAGCAGCCTGCCGTAGCCATGCAGCCAAGCGGCCTCCGAAGTTTGGAGCAAAGCCTGTCCCTGCTACTCCAGGGCATTTCCTCAGGCTAAGTCTTATTTCTGGCACATCCCACCGTCTCGGCGGCATGTGCGTGTCTCTGCCGTGCTGCACCCCTCTGCCTCTAAGGGGCCTGTCTTGATGAGAGATGGTGGCAAGCACTGCAGGCGTCTTGATTCCTGGGAAGAGGGCTGTGTCTAACTGGTCATTTCCTTTCCTTGCCTCAGCTTGGCTTACAAAGCAAACTCTCTTCTGTGGCTGCAACCGGATGGGATTAACTCCTGCATCGCTTCTGCTGCGAGCTGACCCTCTGGCTGCAGCTTTGCCCAGGGCTGTTGGCCCCAAAGCATTTAGAAATCCCGAGAGGGCCCCAGAATAGCACGGAGCATTTAGAAAAGGTGGTGGGGGAAAGTGTCTGTGTGCCTTTCGGCTTGTGAACCTCCAGAGCGAGTCCACTTCACATTTTGAAGTTGTCCTTCCCGCAGGCAGAGGGCTGTCAGCCCTTTTGAATGAGAGGCGAGATCCCTTTGTAGCTGAGGGCACTCCGCTGTGGCCTGAGCCAGAAGTGAGGGGGAGTGTGAGCCTGGCAGTAAAGCTTTGGCAGTGCTGGGACCCCCGGGTGGTGGGGAATGGGGTGGGGTGGTGGAGTGTGCTGGGGGTACGGCCAGAAACCAAGGGAGAGGTGTGGGAGGGCCCCAGTGCTCCCTGCAGCGCGGGGGGCTGCGTAGTGAGGCCGTGTCAGAGCATTTGCATCCAGGCACCTGCTGAAACTTCCCTTTGTTCCCCCTCGTGCTATGTTTAGCTGCCACTGGTGACCTTTTGCGGCTGCTTCGTACGCTGCCAGGCCCTGCGCAAGAGCTGCCAGGGCACCTGGCTCCTGTCTGTCTCTGAGGCAAGATCCAGTTTGTTTCGGGGTGAGTGTCTAAGACCTGCCTCTTCCCGGGGACTCGTGAATATGTGAGTCCTGCTGCGACCTGCTCTCCGGCTGCATCTATGCGCGCTCCTCTTATCTGACATCAGCTACGTCCCCTCGCGCGTAGCAGATGCGCAGAGCACAGGAAGCGCGGAGCCCGCCTGCACTTACAACAGCGCTAGAGCCGACTCACTTCCCGGTTGTGCCGCCGCATCCTACTTTTGCAGGGTGTGTGGGTGCAGGAAGGCTAAAAGGGGAAGTGGCATGGGGCCAGGGTGGAGCCTGAAAATAGCCTTCCCCGCAGAGCTGAGCGCGGCATGGCAGGGCCCTTGTGCGGCCTTGGTGAAAGCCCAGGGCTGCACAGCAAAGGCCTGTTGGTGCTTGGAAGCGTGCTGACCCGTGCTCTGGACTCTGCATGCCCACACGGGAGCATTTGCTGAATCGTCTCCAGGAAGAGCCACGGCAGTAAGTTTTCAAGCATGGACCTTGGCCAGCTGGACAGCGTGTGCCACCCCGTGCTCCCTGCCACCTGCCGGGGGTCAGGCCGGTGCTGCCGAACAACCCTCTCCTAAATCTGGGTCTGATGTGCCGTCCGTTTTCAGCCGCGCCGGTGCTTTTGATTCACAACTTGCAAAGCTTGTGTGGTTCAGCCTGTGACTAGAAAATGGTGTGCTGAGCGCCCATCTTGAGATGCCTTCCAGGATGCCTGCATTTCTGGGGGGCCGAGCGTCTGCCCCCTGCAATCTGTTCTCCTCGCGCGCTCTCCGGCTGGGAATCTTACCAGTCAAGACACCCCAAAGCACTGGCCCTTGGCAAAGCCTGGCTCTTACCCGGGACAGTTGGGGTTCCTGGCCCTTGCTGAAATCGGGGAACTGCCCAACCCCATTCTGACCTCTTTTAGATACTCTTGGAGTTTGTGTGAGTTTTTGTGTAGCTCTGATCCACCCCTAGAAGGAGCGAGGGAGGCCATAATGGTCGAAGTTGCTGCCCTGTGGTATGGGCTCTAGGATAAAATGCTGCTGGTTGCTGACTACTAACACCCTGTCTTCTTTGCAGATCCTTGAACCCCAGCTACATCAGCGCCGACTTCGCTCAAGATGGCACCAGCAGTCGGAGGGCCCCAGGGATACACCCCACCGGAGGGAGGGTGGGGTTGGGCTGTGGTAGTCGGTGCCTTCATCTCCATCGGGTTCTCCTACGCCTTTCCCAAATCCATCACAGTGTTCTTCAAAGAGATCGAGGTCATCTTCAATGCATCAAGCAGCAAAGTCTCCTGGATTTCTTCCATCATGTTGGCTGTCATGTATGGAGGAGGTAAGCCAGCAGGCCTAGGCAGCAGTGCCAAGACCTTTACCTTGATGCCTGGGGAGGTAACTTCTTCCTGCATCTGACCTTACTGCATCTTACTGGGATGCTTCAGCCAAAACCTCCGCAGCGGCGAGCATGGCCTCCTGTCTGGGTGAGCTTTTGGGCAGCTGGCTAGTTTGGAGGAGTTTGGCATAAACCTGGCTTAATGCCTCAAATGTGTGAAAATGAGGTTAATCTGTCCTGCAAAGCTGGAAGTAAAGTCTTTCCGGGGAATTATAACTTATATAATTCTGCACTTGTCCTTGTTACTGTGGCTGCTGACATCTTGTATCTGCCTCTAGCATGCTGGGCTGCTTGTAGATAAGTACTGCGCTGCAGGCAGGGAGCTATGCCTAGCGTTTCCTTAGACGAGGCGGCATGCCAGCTTGCAGAGCTGTTCTGGAAGCGTGCCAGCTCGCACCAGCTGTGGATGTAGCCCCCAAATCTGATGCAGGCACTTGGATTGCTCAGTCAGTTGCTCTTCTTCACACCCGGTGACTTGGCTTTGTTGGTTGTTCCATCGCTGCGTTGTGGCTTGTGACCTGGCCAGCACTAGCGGGGTGCCAGCACTGATTTTTAGCATGGGATACTTCACAGTGCTAGCCCAGGGCAGTGCCTTGTGCTCCCACTTGGAGGAGGAGGAGGATGGCAACACAGATCCAAAAGATGGGGAAATACATAAAAACTCTGGAGGAATCCCCTTGCCCCAAGCTTAGGAACTGGTTTGGGGCCTTGTCCCCATCTCCCTCTCCACCACCTTTGCCTTGCTGGCTCTGACTGCGTGGGGTAACATGGGGGATTCTTGCCCTCTCCCTGACCAGGCCCCGATTTTCTGCAGCCGCCTGCAAACACCACTGCAAACACTGGTGACACGGGGGACTAAAAGCTGCAGCCCCCGCGGCACTGCCGTGGGGTCCGGTGCAGAGCAGAGCAGAACACTGGTGGCTCTTGTGTGGCCGCTGTCCACGGGCAAGCGGCTGGACTCTTGCTTGGCATTTATGCATCTGAAGCAAGTGACGTCAGCTGGCGAGCGAGGCACGAGGCTTCCCCGTGCAGGGGAACAGCTCCAGCATTGTCCTCCCTCAGCTGGCGAGGCGGCCGGCACATTTCCCTGGTTCCCTGTCGTAACAAGCTTGGAAACCGTGACCGTGGGTCTTAATGAGACCGACTGAGCCATTTTGTCTCTCTTCCCCCCGTCCCCTCCCCAGTGAAAGTGGTTCCCTGCACTTCCCTTGGGAGCTGCTGTCCCAGTGCTTCTCAGCGGCTTACAGGGTCATGCTCAGCATGGAGCCAATATGTAGACACTTGCAGCTGGGACGAGCCTCACACTTGGAAGCAACTCACTGCCCCGGCTCTCCCTGAGAACCCCCGCAGCGCCCCCAGCACCGTGGCTGGAATCCGAGCCACTCCCAGTGCTCAGAACTGGTTTGTCAATGTGCACATGACTGTGGGCTGAAACCTCGCGGGGAAAGGGCAGCATGCAGGCATGCTGCCCCAGGGGCCCCACAGTGCTTACTGCCTCTCTGCATAGCCCAGAGTCACAGTATTGCCGCCACTCCTTCCCCCAAATTACCGTGTTCGGTTCCTGGAATGAGATGAGTCATTTGGGCATCCCGAGGGTACTTTGCATTCACAGTCTGGTCTGGGAGTGTCCCTTCTAGGAAGCTGTGATGTGTGTGGTGCTGACACACATACAACTCCCTTCCCCCTCCCAAAGATGCAGTGTTTCCCTGCAGGTCTCTGCGGGGCTGCACAGACCCAGCAGGACCGCTGCATGTCGGCCTGGCTGAGACTGGCCAGCAATCACAGGCACAGTCTGTTTCCTCCCAGACCCTGGATCCTGAAAAGCACATCTTTCCAGGAACTCTGTTTTCTTTAGCACAACGACAGCGTGTCTCCTGGCAGCAGGAGCCAGACCCATGCCGGGGCTTGCTTTGGCTTGCTGCAGAACAGATGCAGGACAAGCAGCAGAGCAAGCCAGCCTATTTCTTCACACACACCGGGGAGTGAGGGCAGGGCGGCACCTTAGAGACCAGCTGATTCAGGGAGGCGGGAGCTTTCATGGGCAGCTGCCTGCCCAACTTTATGCTGTGTCCTCTGGCCAGTGGAGTCCAGGCCAGGTCCTGCTTGGAAGGGCTTTGGCTCTTTGAGAGGGTTTAGAGCTTGGGTCCAGCCTGGCGCGCACATCCTTCTATGCACGTCCCTCTTTGCTGTGCTAGGAGGGTGCTGTAAAGCCAAATGGAGCAGGTGGCTCCGTCCGCTCTCAGGCCTGGATGTCCACCTGCTCTGTGTGGCTTTGTGGCTGTTCCCGAGAGGGGGTGCAGTGCCGTCCACAGAGCCTGTCTTAGGACACCAGGGAGCAAGCCAGTGGTCAGGTACTGGTGCCAAGTGCCTGTGTGGTGGGTGGGGAGGTCACCCGCTTTGGGCTGAGATCAGAGGGAAGGGTCTGCTCTTGTGGAGCCTCTCCAGGGCCTGCCTCCGCTGCTGGTGGGCTGTCCTGGCAGAGGTTGCACACAGGTGCTGTGCCTATCCGCAGAGGCACCAGGTATGACGGGAGGGAGGAGATGGGCCAAGCGCTAGGATTTGGGAATGCCCTGTTCCCAGCAGTCCCTCTTCAAACATTTTCCGGACTCTGTTTAAACTGGGTGAGAAGGTCAAGTAGCAGTTGAGTACCTGTGAATAACATGTTGACGACCTTGCTGCCTGTTAATGGTGAAGCTGGATTTGTTAATATTCAATGGATGTTCATTCAGTGTATTTAAAGACCTGCTCGTGTCTGTTAAGCATGCACTTCTGTACTTAATGGCTGTTTACTTTGGATTATGGTTTCTGGTAATGAAGTGCGTCAGCTCTGGCCCACAGAGCGAGCTGCCTTCCCGAGCACCGGGAGAAATGCAAATAACCAAATGCCGCTTGCACGTGCAGCCATTTGGATCTACTTGTTCCTGCTACTGCCTGGCTGGGAATCCCACACCACCCTGCTGGCCTGTCTGAGCCTGCCCACCTGCCCGTATGCTTCACCACGTGTCCGGTCGCATCCTCTCACAGGCAAGCGCTTCAGGGCAGAGACCATCACAGACAGCATGCTTGTCGGGCCTGGCACTGTGTGGCTGCAGCATGGCTGGGCCACGAGGTACCATCATGTTGCAGTGACTGGTTCACCCCAGATCCCATCTGGGATGGCCACAGACTAGACAGCCCTCATTTCAGGTTGGAAAAACTGCAGTCGGACTGCCTGGCTGGAAAGAGCCCCGCACCTCAGATCACCCCTGGGGCAATGCAAACACGGGGCTCTGTGCTGGGCCTCTGTGTTCCCAGGTCTTTCCAGGAGTCATTACTCAGGAAGCTCATGCTACTGTTTCTCTCTGGGAATCACTGGGCCAGGGAGGCTTCGTCTTGGCCCCACAAACAGGAGACGCATGTGGCTGAATTCAGGGAGTCTCTGAGGGGTCGATGTCCCAAGAGGGGCTCACAAAACCCCTGCCACCAAGGAGGAGTCTGCGGGCCAATTATGCTCACAAAACACCTGCCACCAAGGAGGAGTCTGCGGGCCAATTTTGGGGGCTGGGGGAGTCCAGCTGGCCCGATAAGGGGGCTCAGATGCCACTTGGGCAAAGACTTCTTTTTAAAGAGCAGCTGATTCCTGGAACGTGCTTTGTTCAGGGGCTGTCTCACCTTCCATCCCCCTCTTTTCATGGTGCGTGACAGCAGGGTCTGCACGTGACTGTTGCGTTTGAAGTGGCAGCTCAGGGAAGGAACAAACAGCAGAAGCAGGCGCTAACAAGAAACAGACCCTCGCTCCACGCCGGCTCGGGTGGGGGCAGGCAGGCAAGGGAGCCTGAAACGGGCACATGGGGAGCTGACTTGGCTACAACAGCAGATGGGGAGGCAGTGCGATGACAACTCGGGCTCAGGCTCCTGACAACCCCAGGGGCTCAAACTCCCCCATACTGCAAAGGTAGCAGCACACGGGCTCTCCTGGGGGTGTCAGGACGATGTCTTGGGGCCTTTGCAGACTCCACCTGAGCCCCAGCCTGAGCCTTGCCCTTCTGATGGAGCTGGCAGCATGTGCATTATTCAAACATCTGCATGTCCTTGCATCTCAGCAGGACAAGAGAAGCTGCCGCTCTCTGCCTGCCTGCACCTGGTTTTCACGGACTCCTGAGTGAAGTCTGCTTTCTCCAGCACTTCCCCCTGCTCTCGTGCAGGCGAGCCAGGCTGAGGCTAACTATGCTTTCTGATGCCCTCTAGGTCCCATCAGCAGCATCCTGGTGAACAAGTACGGCAGTCGGCCCATCATGATTGCCGGGGGGTGCCTGTCGGGCTGCGGCTTGATCGCCGCGTCCTTCTGTAACACGGTGGAGGAGCTGTATTTCTGCGTGGGGGTTGTTGGAGGTGAGTGGCCCCTTTACTCCCCGTTCAGGGTCACAGTACAAACGAGACACCTAGACGCTTGGTGGGGGGAGGTTAAACCAGAATTTGCCATTTAAGGAAAGACTAATAGAGGTGGATAGTAATCCTCATTTGAGGTGCCCAGCCACAGCTCTTTATTTGCACATAATCTGCTGAGTAAAATGTGTCTGGAAGAATTAATGCTGTGATACTTAATAACCTGGCCCATATCTCTTGCTCAGCCTTTTCGGCACTGGTGGCCCTTCCCTTATCCCATTGATTTCTAGAAGGGCAGAGCTCTTCCGTCTGAATTCACCATATCCTTGCTTGTTTTTCAGGTCTTGGGCTGGCTTTCAACTTGAACCCAGCCTTGACCATGATCGGCAAGTACTTCTTTAAGAAGCGCCCGTTGGCTAATGGGCTCGCTATGGCAGGGAGCCCCGTGTTCTTGTCTACATTGGCACCTGTGAACCAAATCTTCTTCGGTATCTTTGGCTGGAGGGGAAGCTTTTTAATTCTTGGCGGCCTTCTGCTGAACTGCTGCGTGGCCGGATCTCTGATGCGACCGATAGGCCCCAAACCCGATCAGGTGAAGAAAGAGGTCACTAAAGAAGCATTGCAGGAGGCCGGGAAAGCTGGTCTGAAAAAAGAGGAAGGATCTGGTGATGCCAGTGCAGACCTGATTGCGGGAAAGGCCAAGAAGGAGAAGCTCACGGTTTTCCAGACCATCAACAAGTTCTTGGACTTGTCCCTGTTCACCCACAGAGGGTTCTTGATCTACCTGTCGGGCAACGTTATCATGTTCTTTGGCCTGTTCACTCCCTTGGTCTTCCTCAGCAACTACGCCAAGAGCAAGCACATCGCGAACGAGTCGGCTGCCTTCCTGCTCTCCATTCTGGCCTTCGTAGACATGGTGGCCAGGCCTTCCATGGGCCTGGTGGCCAACACCAAGTGGATCAGGCCCAGGGTGCAGTACTTCTTTGCTATCTCCGTGATCTACAACGGCGTGTGCCACCTCCTGGCTCCCTTATCCACCTCCTACGCCGGGTTCTGCGTCTACGCGGGCTTCTTTGGATTTGCTTTCGGCTGGCTCAGCTCTGTCCTGTTTGAGACACTGATGGACCTGGTGGGCACTCAGAGGTTCTCCAGCGCTGTCGGGCTGGTGACGATCGTGGAGTGCTGCCCCGTGCTCCTGGGACCCCCTCTTCTAGGTAGAGTATGGGCACGTCTCTTGGGGAAGGTGGGAGGGGGGTGTCCCGTGGAGTGTCGGCGGGGGGAGAGAGGGAGCGCTCCCGCAAGGAGGCTCACCCTGGTGAAGCCCAGGAGAGCCAGCCCTTCCAGCAGCCCTGAACAAGGGGGTGGCTGTGTCCTGCCAGGAGCCTATCACCTCCGTGGGGAAGCAGGCTCTTTGCACAAGGAGCAGATGAAGCCCTTCCTGCAGCACATCTCGGGGTGCTTCCCCCTCCCCTGCTGCAGAGCAGACTTGTTTTAAAGTCTTACCCGTGCGGGCGGGGGTAGAAGGGGGTGCCGGGCCAATGGCTCCGGTGGATCCTCCAGCCTTGGAATTTCTCAGGAAACCTCTGTTCAGTTTTGGAAACACCTCCCAGCGCCCTCAGCTTGTGGTGCTTGAAGACGAAACAACCCTGAGCAGCCTGTTGCTCAAGGTGTTAGTTTTTAAGATGGAAGCAGGGATCGATGACTGCTGTGAGCGTGCGCGTGCATGGCACCTGTGCCATTCGGCTTGCCTGCACTTGATTTAACCCTGGGGTTTTTATTGCGCAGCCTTACCCAAGGTTTTCAGTTTAGGAGACTACATGAGTGTGCATGTTCATGGGGAAAACTCTTAGAGCAAGGCTCAGGCATGGTAGTTCAGGGCAAGTCCTACCCTGTAATGGGTCAGGTCTGTTGTATGACACTGTCTCTCCTCTGTCCATCAGGAAAACTCAATGACATGTATGGTGACTACAAATACACCTACTGGGCCTGTGGCATCATCCTGATCGTCTCTGGGATCTACCTCTTTGTGGGAATGGGAATCAACTACCAGCTGCTGGCGAAGGAGCAGAAGGCAGAGGATAAGCTGAAGAAGGAAGGGAAGGAGGAGGAGACCAACGTGGACGAGGTGGAGAAGCAGAAGGAGGCAAACAACGACGTGGCCACCCTGCCACAGAAGAGCGTGGAGGACGGGGTAAAGGAGGAGGAGAGCCACATGTGAGGGACCCGGGCTTTGGCATTTTCCTCCTGGAGGGGTCGGAGGAAGCTGTCGCTCTGAAACGTTACCGGCAGGGCAGTTCCCCAGACACCGAGCCGTCGTGAGAAGTGTATAAACCAGGTGTTCATTTTTAGCACAGCTCTTTCCATCTGCGCTCTGCCGCGGTCAGAGCTGTGTGCGCAGTATCCTTGTGTTGGGGGGGTGGGGGGTGTTTTTATATGTTGGCTTTTTAACCGTTACATGAATGTACTAATATGTGCCTTAAAGTTTCCACACCTATTTGACTTTGGAGAGAGCCTTAACTCCACTTTGTAAACCATGGTGTAGTTAGTTTTTTGTACTTTGTTTAGAGGGGGGTTTAAAAAGCCATAAAAGAGGATACTGGATGAGATGAGGCTTGACTGCCTTCACTGCCGTGTCTAAAATGAATACTGCTTCACACGCTTCTTACTGCCAGACTCCCCGTGGAGGTAGGGAGGCTTTTGTTGGGGTGGGGGGTGGGGAGGGGGGCATGGTCTTTAGAATAAATACGAGCAGATAAACACTTGGGTGCCTGAGGCCATCTGGTTGTCTCCTAGGCTGTGTCTAGCACCTTGTGAAAACACTGTAGTTACTGTAGGTTTTTTCCAGTCTCCCCTTCCTTGTAGTGAAATCTTTGTGGAAGACTCTGAAATGGCTGACCCAGAGAAGCGAGGCTCGCCCGCTGTTCTGTAACGCTCTGTTCTCTGCTCCTTGGGGTCTAGCCAGGTTTCTGTGCAGGCTTTCCTCCCACTCTCCCAAGCGGGGCCTGATAGCATGGGAAGCATTCGGAGTCTGGTCCGTGCCGCTTTTCTAGGCCAGAGACTTGCCAGCTGCATCCTTGACACCTTGTCTGACGGTAACACTATGAGATGAAATGGGTACCGGCGCAGGAGAGCGAGCTGCAGAGCTGGGCCTGTGCCTACATCCTTCCGACAGCAATCCCAGCTGGCCCGGGCTGGAGCCGTGTGTCATGCGGACACGGAGTCTGGTTTGGAAGTCTCCAGCTGCTGTCTCACTTGAAATTGGCTGCCTGCCACTGGCAGGCACACATCCCCTCTTCCCCCCCTTGAAATTGGCTGCCTGCCACTGGCAGCCAGACCTGCCTTCTCCCCCTGCCTGGCCCTGGCCCTGGCCCAGAGCTGCTGAAGGGGCCGGGGGGCTGTTTGAAAGTTGCCTGTAGACTAGTTCTTCCTGGGTAGCCTCTGGCACTTTCCTTTGCACAGGATAGGGCTCCAGATAGGGTGCTTGCCTGGCTTGCGGGGGATCCTGCTCCTTGCAAGACTCTTACTCTCTTCAGTGAAAGCCGAACTGGCTCTTAGTGAGGGGACCTGGATTTACTCTGATGTCTGGGGTGGGACATGTAGTAAAGTGCACTGGGGCTGACTGTTGTGCAGACTGAACGGGGCCAGGTACAGCACAGAGGCTCCCACCCTGTGGGCCAGGGACCAGCAGTGATTCAAGGCCACGGCACATGGCCAGTAGATCATACTACCCCCAGCCCCATCTCTTTCCGTTAGCATTTTGATGCCAGGGGCACAGTGCTTTGTAGGCCCAAGTAGTGTGGGAGCCCCCAGGGTGCCACGTTCTCCCGCAGCCCTGAGACTGCAGAGCTGGAGCAGCAGAACCGAGTCGGCTCGCTCTCGTGAGCTAAGACGAGGGCGATGCCTGCCTGGTGGCTCACGTTCAAGACGCGTAACTGGGGAGAGGAGGGAGACTTGTTTGTACGTATTTATTTTTTTTAGCACGGGTCAATATCCCAGCGTACGGGGCAGGGCTGCGCTAGCAGCCTGGGGCCGACCCGTCGCCGGCTCTCAAGTGTCAGTGCATGTTGTTAGGAAATCCTGTAAGAGGCTGTGTGTGTGGTTTTTTTCAAATAAACTTGTTTTTTATAATTCACCCACCACATGTTGAATTTTCTTCCTAGTCGATGATGGTAGGATCCTTTTCCATAGCTGCCTCCCAGGGGTGCACCAGTGGATGTGCTTTTGTAGGGGGAAAGGCATGGGGGTTTCAAGCTGCAAACTCTTCAGGTTGGGCAGTCAGGTGGTGGTAGTGGTGCGGTGCCATGGACCGATTTACCATGAGCACGTGTCCTTGTCTTTGCAGGGAGACTGAGCTTAGCTGGCTTTAAGAGGGTTCTGACAGTCGGCAAACTTCTTCCTCACTCAAATTCCTCTTGGTTTGACCAAGTGTGTCCTCGGCCACCCGAATGCCATTCACCTTACCCTTTAAATGCTGACCAGCTCAGAGCACTGCAAGGCTGTCTCTGCTCTGTCTAGGAAATGCACCGCGCTGGGAGGAACTGAAGTCGAGAGAAACTTTCAAAACCCAGCTTCCCAAAGCAAACATGCTGGTCTAAAACCCCAAAAGAGTATTTTGTTCAAGTGCCGGCTGCTAGAGCGCCAGTGGGGGACAAACGTACACCTTCAGCTGCTGTGCCTTTCTTTTCATAATTGTCTCAACTGCAGAAGGAGGTTGGTGGCATGCAAGCCCAAGTGGATCCGGTTCACGCGTGGTGACTTGTAAACGGCTTTTCCCAAAGCCTAGATCTCTCATTTTTTTTAGGGAAAAGATCGCATCTCAAATTGTACACTAAATAGGTAGGCTCCAGATCTAACAAAATCATCTCCATAATCTACCCTGGGAAACCCTCCAGCGCTTCCCCTCTGCATTGATGTAGAAGGCTTTACTTTGTCAACTTCCATGACGGAGACTTTAAGCTATATTTTTGCTGAGCAACAGAGCTTGCACAACTGAGGAGTCTAGGCAAATATTGCTAGTTTTTGTACAGCTCTAGGGTGAGTGGGAACGAAGCCGATTCCAGGTTTTTGCGTATATGTCTATTTTCACTGCAAGTGACCTTTCCTTTCCGTTCCTGGGAGCCCATGACAGTATTACCCAATGCACTGTGAAGTCCTCGACTCTTGTTTTTTTGGCTGCTGACTTAGCGAGTTATGGGGGATTTTTATTTTTTAATTGCAGTCTACTCTAAACCTTACAAAAGGAACTGGTCAGGGTATTTTCATACTGTAGAGTAACTGTATGAAGCCAATAGAGTATTTTGTACAAACAGATTTTATTGTACTGTACTGAGCTGTGACATTGTAAAAACCAAGTTGTATTTTCGTGAATTCCATGCGTCTGTTTTAGTCAATAGTGATGATTTCATGTTGCAATAAACTAACCACAAAGAACAGCAGGTGTGGTTCCTCTTCTTGGAGATGCAAAGAGAAAAGCCACCAGCTGCTGCTGCTACACGTTCCGGTATTCAAAGCAGCTGTCTCCACCTGGCAGGGGGCTGCTTCCTGGTGATTAGGAAGTATTGATGCTCTCCTGGGGCATCTCGGGCTGGGGAGGAGGTGCCAGGCTGTCTGGAGGTGCAGGATGGGAGGCTCTCCCAGGGCAGACAGACCTTGTCCACGTGTCTTGGTCCAGACCTAGAGAGACCCATGCAAAGGGGGAGTGGAGAGAGGGTTTCTTGGGCTCTTTCAGTCCGTGATGCTAGCAAGCCTCTCTGGGTAACCTGGACTAACACACAGAGCGCTGAATTGTCTGCTTCATTCCTCCCAACTCCCATCCTTTGGCGTGGCGCTCCGAGGAGTCGCGGCGTGGCCGGGCTCTTCCATGCTGCACTCTCGAACAAGGCTGTGACGTTGTGTAACGTGCTTTCAGGAGCGGGCACCTGGTCCGTGTTTTGTAACCTTGCACAGTGACCCAGGCCTGTCGATCCCAGTGGAGCCAGGCTTTTGCTTCCAAAAAGGCGGTGCCTGCTTCAGGGTTTGCAGCAAGATAAGGACGGGGGAACTACCCTGCTGTCCCTACTGCAAGGTCAGTGCTGCTTTCCCTCTTGCCCATAGCCTGTGGCTTGACTTTCTCTTAAGTGGCAGAACGAGCAGGTGCCCGTTTCCCTCTAGGATGGGGCAGCAGGTGGCCATTGCCTGTTCTTTACCGGCGGTAAGGACAAAGCCCAGGATCCTTGCAGCCTGGGTGGAGAGGAGAGGCACTTCCTTTATCTGAAAGTTTGTACAGCAGGGTGCTGCCCTGCTGGGTGTGCCTTCTTCGACTTCCTTCATAGATAAGGCTGCTTCACCCCAGCCAGTGTTTTCACCCTGCCTGCCATCAGCTCCTTTCCCCCAGGAATCAGATACCAAATGCCTGAGGGGACCTAACCAGCCATGGGGCCCATGCAGGCCTGCAGTCCCGGTGCAGGCAATAGGGTGCTCAGGCTTGGCTGCTTCGGGGCATAAAATCCTCCTAGCTGAAAGTAGGGGCAGACGGGAGGCACGTACCCACCTGCATGTGTCATTCTCAGGGCTATTACCAGGTGACTCAGCCGTGGAGGATGCATCATCACAGGGCCCATAAAGGCAGTCAGCTGCCTTTCCCCCAGAAGCAGCGCGTGCACACCCGCTGGAGACGGCAGCCAGCTAGAAGGCTGACTATGCCACCAGGAAGGAGAAAGCAGTCTTGCTGTAGGCTGCAGAGCTGGGCTGGAAGCCAGCTTCCCTCCCCAGACCTGAAAATGTGGAAGGAGCAGTGCTCCTCTTGTACACAGACCCCCTGTGAGCGAGGTTGTGTGCAGGTCCCTGGCTGGGTGCTATAAAGAAAGTTTGAGGTGCTAATGAAGAGCTGCATGCATAGCTCTGCCTGGGGCCAGGGCTGGACATCCAGCAGCCCTGTACCGGCACAGGTAGTCTTTAATGCCAGCTCTCCTCCTGCTATCACTCAGCAGCCTTGGGGTTTGGACGAGATGCCCCAAAACGTATCCCTCCCCGAGGCAGAAGGAAGCACGCGTCTCTTGAGCGGGTGGAGGGTGAGCAGGGCCGTTGCACTGCTCCCGTGTGGGTGCTGGTGGGTCTCGCTGCCTGTATGCAATGGGGACTGGCACCCTGCTGTGGGCACAGCTCTCCGCTGTGGGCACAGCTCTCCGCGGGGGCTGTGGGGCTGCGATGCGGTGACATTCCTGTGCTTAGGCCCTAACAGGCAGTGACTCTTTAACTATATTAAGCTGGAAGAACTGCTGAGGCTACTGATACCTCTGCACAGGGTCGGGGAAGGCCCTCACCCCCCCTGTGACTCCTAAGGACACTTCCAGGAACGGGGGTGAATAGTTGACAAGGTTGTGCAAGTCTTCGCGAGCCCCATTCAGCGTGACGCTCTGCCACTGGAGTCCCGGCAGGTCTTTCACGGCAAAGTTGTTACCGACTTCCTCCGAATGTCCTCTAGCTGCGTCTGCCTGCGCGCCCTTCCTCCGCTGCTCCGCGGGGAATTCTGCTCTGCAGCCCAGGGATGATCAAGGAAATAGTTGGAAAGCAATTCCTTGGAAAACGTTTTCCCAAGTGTTTTCCCAGGCTGGCGGCCAAAAACGCCTTCACAATGGTACTGGGCAGGGCAGGCCGAGGTGTGCAAATGGACAGGGCGTTGCCGCTCCCCTGTGAGCTGGGGCCAGCCGCGTGGAGGGGACTGCTGGCAGCTATTCAGTCCATTGTGCTTCAAGTCAACCCAGAGGTAACAAATGCACAAACCAGCTCTGGCCTCGTAATTCTGCTGCGTGACGCTGACCGCACACAGTGGGCGCTGGAGCGGGTGTACGTGGTCAAGCTGCCCAGAGTGTTTGTACCTGCAAGTTAAGGCGCGACACCCATCGTTCCCAGCCAGTGTCATGAGATATCCTTTAAAGGGGGCCGTGCAATATTAGCAAACACCTACATCTGATTCATGAGAGAAACCCCAAGATTGCAAACAGGGCTCCACGGTGCCAAAAACTCTGCTCTGCTGTGGTCTTTTCTTCTGAATTCAGAAGAATTGCTCTAGTATTTTTTTGACTGTAGTCAGAAAACAAGTGAAAGCAAAGAGCTAAGAGCACTTTGGAAACTGCCAGCTCTTAGCAAGGGCTGCCTCGAGCCTAACAAGGTTAAGAGCCACTGCACTACACTGAAAATGATCTTAGCCCATGGGCTGTGCCTGTGGGAAGTGGTAGGGTCACAGCAGGGACAAGCTGCCTGTCCCCTTCTGCCAGGACCTAGAGCGAGGTTGGCCTTGT